CACAAATACAATCTTTAAAAAATATATTTTAAAAAAATCTCATTTGTAATATGTTTGTCATGAGATTTTTTCCAGAAATGCAAAAAAGTCTCAATATTAAGAAACTTATTCACCATATTAATAGATTTAAAAAATCATATGACACCTACTTAGTTACTGCAAAGGCATTTGATAAAATTCCAAATTCATTCCAAAATGAAATAGAAAATTTCTAAAAGGAACCATGGGATAATTAAAAAAAATAATCTCAGAACATGAAGGGTCTTTCTTAGCAATCAATTAACTTCTTGATGAGTCCCATCCAGTGGGATATAAACATGGAAAACTTTTTTCTTCTAATTATTGGTTTCAATGGCATTGTGTCACTCATCTTTTCCCACCCCTTAAATTAAAATCTAGGAAAGAGTCAATGACTTTCCGGTAACTTCAGGTTATTAAAACTCAATCCAACTCAGTTTGAAACCCTAAATGGATCCAGTTCAAAGCTTTGTCCTTGCTATCACTGGTAGACTTGTGCTTGAGTAAAGAAACTATAACATGTATAATCCAAACTGGAGCACTCCTGAGTGAAAGTTAGCACTAGTAATAGTAACATCTTGGTGGTGTACTGAGGTTATCCTGGCTAAATCGGATGAATGGCCACCTGAGATCAAAGGACTTGAAATGGGGAGAGGGGAGTCTCCTCTGCTATTTCAAGCCTCCTCCCCTGTGGATTCTTTTTTTTTTTTTTTTTAAGATTTTATTTATTTATTTGAGAGAGAGAGAATGAGAGAGAGCAAGCACATGAGAGGGGGGAGGGTCAGAGGGAGAAGCAGACTCCCTGCCGAGCAGGGAGCCCGATGCAGGACTCGATCCAGGGACTCCAGGATCATGACCTGAGCCGAAGGCAGTCGCTTAACCAACTGAGCCACCCAGGCGCCCTCCCCTGTGGATTCTATACCTAGATCCCCTGGTGTTGGGGAACAGGAAGGAGAGACAAAGGAGGCAGAAGCCATCTTGAATGTCTGGCAATATGTTGGTGGTGAAGAGATATTCTTGGATTTGTTTATTTCTATGCAATAGCCTTTCAAGGTGGGAAGATCACATAGTCCAGCACCCTCCTTTTACAATGAGATGACCAAGGCCCATGTAGATGGGATGACTCCTGAGAGGTGGCCGTCCTAGCGGTGGACTTAAGCATGTCCTCACAACTCCTGTCAGTGCCCCCTTTGCTGCACTACATCTGCCTCTCCTACACGTGCCCATCAGAGCCAGGACCAGTGCAAGACCTTGAGAGGTACTCACCTCAGGTGTAATACCTCAAGGGGTGCCAGTGCTGAGGTCTCGTCTGAAAGCTCGACCAAGGAGAGATCTGCTTCCAAAGTCACATGGCTGTTGGTAGAATTTCAGTTCTTTGGGGGCTGTTGGACTGGAAGCTTCAGTTCATGCTGGCTGTTGGCCACAGGCTACCCTCATTTCCTTGCCTGTGGTCCTCTCCCTTTAGCAGCTCCCAATATGGCAGCTTGCTTCATCAAAACTAGCAAGGGAGAGAGTCTGCTATAGAACCCTGTTTAATCTATTCATGGAAGTGACATCCCAGAATGTTTGCGAAATTCTAGCATTTAGAGCAAGTCACACATTTCCACATTTAAGAGGAGATTCCACAAGGCCATGAATAACAGGTGGTAGAGATCACTGGGGCCATATTTGAGGCTATCCACCACACAAGCAATGCAACAGAATTAGTGTGTGGTGAAAGCCATAGGTTCCATAAAGGGAGGCAAATGGTATTTTCTAAAAAGTTGTACCAATTCTAAACAACATGAAAGACACAACCTCGGGGGAAAAAATGATTGGTAGGTAAATCTAACCATGGCTCCCCTGCATGATATCAGGATCACAAAAGTGTGACCATGGGAGTCCTCTGCAGGTTATCTGCTAAAACTAGGAAATGGCACTATGTGACTGAAGTAGACCAATTTTTCAGATGGAATTTCAAGAAATGTTAGAATCTCTAGGCCTGCAGGCCTGGGAATAGGAGAAAGAAAGGGGAGAAAGAAGTACTATGAGGCCTGGTGGATAGGACATTCAGTTTCTATCCCTACAGAGAATTCTGTGAGCTGTTAAATATGCTGTTAAATATGATTGAAAATTACCAACCCAATGCAAGTTCCATAGGAATCATTCTCAATGAAAAGATCTGTGTCCCTAGTTCTGTTCCATAACTCACTTTCGTGAAATGATTTTATGAGCAAATAGAGTTAACTGGCATTGAGTATCTACAGAACTTCAAACCAAAACAATGAAAGAGTTAAAAAATAAGGATTCAGTCTTACAATGGACACGTATTAGTAGCTCAATAAAATTTCTAACTTCAAATAGTAAAATACAGAGAGCGTTCCTATGCTATGTTATTTCACATAATAGGATTCTATACCTCGTGGGTAAGTACAACTACTAATGATAATGGTAAGAGCTAATATATATTGAGAGACACCACAGTGTAGTGGGTAAGAGTGCAGACTCTGGAGTTAGACTGCAGAGGTTCAAACACCAGCTCTTCCTGTGACCTTGGGCAGGCCACCTAACCTCAGCTTTGCCATGTATAAAATACGAATAACAGCACTTATGTTCCAGGGTTGATGTGAGGATCAAACAAACTGATATTAGTACAGTGCTGGCTACTGTCATGTTCCCAGTATTGTTCTAAGTCCTCACCTGTAATCCTTGTAAACCACAAGGAATTGACTCCACATTTCACTCTCCTACCAATAAGACATGGGTAACCACGAGAGAAAGTTTTAAACTGTTTCTGGTTTTTATCCTTAAATTTCAGACTTTATTCTTAAATTTTAGCACAAAGTTATTTAGATAAAAGAAATTCTGCAAATGAAAGTGTCTAAACAGACACTTAACACATTCCTTTGGAAAATTTGCCTTTATTGTTTTACTAAAAGCATGTATACCATGAATTAAGTAGTTTTTAACTTCTGTTAATTTCCTTTTCTGAGTAGTATGATGACACTGTCATTGCAGCAAAAGACCAGTAGATGGCTGTCCAGAAAAAGGAACAAATACCTACAGTAAGGAACAAATACCTACAGTGAGAATTTTTACAAGATCACTTAAAAAGACCTACAAAAATCAGTAGAGGAGGGCACCTGGGTGGCTGGGTTGGTTAAGCGACTGCCTTCGGCTCAGGTCATGATCCTGGAGTCCCAGGATCGAGTCCCACATCGGGCTCCCTGCTCAGCAGGGAGTCTGCTTCTCCCTCTGACCCTCCCCCCTCTCATGCTCTCTCTCTCTATCTCATTCTCTCTCAAATAAATAAATAAAATCTTTAAAAAAAAATCAGTAAAGGAAGGCTATGGATAGATATGTTGAAAACACAGAGTTTGCAATGGTCTTAAGAATATTTTTTTAATTTTAAAATGAAACGGATATTTAATTCATCCTTTTCACAGTAAAATATTCATTACACTGCTGAAGGAAGTATCTATTTGGGTGTAACCTTCCCAAAGGCCAACTTACTTAACAGCAAAGTACTTATAATCTTATAGTCTGCATATCTTTGATTAAGCTACCAAAGGATACGTATATCTAGTAACTGATCTAAGGCATTAAGGCTGGTATACTGTCTTTGCTTCTTTTGGATAAATTGTTAATTTTACTTTTTCCCCAATATCTTATGTTATGTTAGAACATTACTTTCTTAGTGAAAATGTGGGGCCCACAGGAGCAGTTAACTTTCAAAAGAAAAATACAACAAAATGTCTCAACTAAACATAAATTTGAAAATAGTGATGCTTTCATTACATTTTTCTATTATCTCAACCAGCTGTTTCCTTAGTTCTAGTCACATCAACAATTTTTCCCATACATGCTGGGCCACATTTAGCCTTTTTCTATACTGAAATTCTTTTCTAAGGTCAAGGAAGTTAATTTGTTCACCATTTTCTCAAGTTCTTGAAGGGGAAAGGAAACCTAAGAATAGCTGTACCAGATTTGTTCCTAAAAAAAAAATCACAAACACACTTCTCAAGCATTCCTACTGGTAGCCATAGCAATAAGTTAAAGCCCTAAGTTATGAAGTCTCATTTAGGTTACAGCTAGTAAACTAAGAATGCAGGTTTTCAGATTTTTTGCTGCAAATTCTACTAATTACTAATATGTTTTTTACACCCGGATGACACTATAGAATAACTGAACTGGAAATATACAAACTTTAATATTTAAATTAATTGGTAAATGGCAGAAAAATCTACTATACATATTTTTGTGAGCCAAAGAAAGCCAGCTATTAGCTATGCCCAATTATCACCAAACAAACAAGTTCATGCTATTATTTGATAAAAGTTTTAAGTATAATTTCCCTTCAAAGAACAGAAGAGAAAGGCTCAAGACGGAGCCCTAATGGGGGGGTCAGAGGTCCGTCCTTCACCAGTTCTGTGTGTCTGAGCAAATTAACTCTTCTGCACTCAGCAGTTCACCTGTAAAATCATGAGGTTATTTACTCTTCCTTCTGCCCTGTACCAAAACCGGTCTTACCGATTTCGTTCTACTTAACCACTCTGTCATCTTTAAGTATATGTGTCCTTATGCTCTCTCTCCTGGCTACCCAAGTCAGTTGACCGCTCTTGGTTTTTCCACTGCACTTTGTCCCATACACTCAGTATTAGGGAGATCTTGAAGGGTCTTATCCGATACTAGGTTATCCGAACAGACGGGAAATAACATGTTTTAGAGTTAGGGAGACGTCCTGGGTCTCCAGGATGGGCCTCCGGACGCACAGGATAATCCTGGCAGCCGGGCATTTTTGCCCTCACTTTCCCGGAGGCAAAGAACCCAAGTTCAGGTGCTTTCTAGAAACGGATCAGATGCATCCGCCGCTTTGGGAAGCCAGAAGGCGAAATATCACGAAAATGTATTTCAGGCTATGAAAAGGGTTTAAAACAACACGCCCAGGTTGTCAGTCATTTTTCCTAATATCCACGTGAGTTAAACTCAGAAAAGTTACCCACCTGCTCAGAGAACGAGTGATTCGGTTTGTATAGGCAGCAACATTTGCACTGTAAAAACCACTGGAGTCTTTGCAGAGGCCAGGGGTAGGTGCACCAGGAAGAGGAGTTTCGCAGGTTTTAGGTCATAGTCTCCCTGTCATCTCTTGCAGGTGGCCAGAGGACCGCGGTAACCGCTCTGGCGGGGACGCCACCTCGAGGGGCTCTAACTCCTCCCGGCCGAAAGGGGGCACCCACAGCCACGTCTTTCCCGCCAACTCCACGGGAGCTCCAGCCCCGGCTCGCGCAGCCGCCTCCGGAGCCCTCAGGGCAATTCCTCTTCCGGGGCAGCGCGAAGGCGCGTGCGGGACCCGGATGCAGACGGGAGCGCAGCTATATAAGCGCCACGCAGGCCTCACGCTTTTCTCTTTGAGGAAGACGCGGTCGTAGCTACAGCGGAGGTGTGGACGCCCCGCTCCTGCTCCTGACTCACCGCTGTTCGCTCTCACCGAGGAACAAGTCGGTCAGGAAGCCGCGCCGCAGCCATGGTGAGGCGGGGCCCGGTGCCGCGTGGTTGGGGACGCGGAGGGACACGGTCCCTTCTGGGGACGGATTCCGGGATGGGAGGAAGCGGTGGGAGTACGAGTCTCACTTAGTAAAGAGGGCTCGTGAAATGGTGGAGGAGCCTAGGAAGTCTTTTCGTTAAGGTCGTTTCCAGGCTTCTAAAAGAAACCTGTCTCCATTTGTGTAATAATAGGCTTTTAAAGACACCGGAAAGACACCCGTGGAACCGGAGGTGGCGATTCACCGAATCAGAATTACTCTCACCAGCCGCAACGTAAAATCTTTGGAAAAGGGTCAGTACGATATTTTCAGAGTGAGACCTTTGGGCAAAAAAAAAAAAAATTTTATTCGGCTTTGTTGCTGTACAAGATTGACTCAGAAGTCAAGTGACAAGTCGCTTAACTTAAAGGCAAAGGAAGAACGATCTGTGCTTAACTGTTAGTGTGTTTTTTAAGTCGTTGTTGGCGATGAGGAGACAATTACTGTGTTGAATGATGATGATAGTTTTATACGCTATTCTGAGCCAGCGTCAGTTAAAATTCTGACGCTGACCTTTGTTTTGAACGAACTGAAAGATGCTTTTATTTTTCTGTAGTATGTGCTGACTTGATCAGAGGCGCAAAGGAAAAGAATCTCAAAGTGAAAGGACCAGTTCGGATGCCTACCAAGGTGAAAAAAATCAGGGGCAGGGGAAGAACACAAAGCGAAAGAAAAATTAATGGTAGAATTTGGTTCATGTTAAGTACCTGATTTTCGCAGATACCTGTTAAAAGTCTTTGCTGCTCTTTTTCTTGGGTGGGGTATGGTGTTTTTATAAGGGCACTGCCCTGGCTGAGGAAAAAATGGACTTGCCATTGTAAATTGGTGGTGATTTACGTAAAAGGGAAAGATGCTCTGGGAAGTATTCAAAAATAAGAGTAGTGGTTTTGCAGGTGTCCTAGGGATAAGCATAAAATCATAAATGCTTGGTTTCCTTTGTCTTTTGTTGCAGACTCTGAGAATCACTACAAGAAAAACTCCTTGTGGTGAAGGTTCTAAGACCTGGGATCGTTTTCAGATGAGGATCCACAAGCGACTCATTGATTTGCACAGTCCTTCTGAGATTGTTAAGCAGATTACTTCCATCAGTATTGAGCCAGGAGTTGAGGTTGAAGTCACCATTGCAGATGCTTAAATCAACCTTTTTAATAAATTGATTATCGGTTGTTAAATCTTGTTGACTTTCATTACTAATACCCATGTATTTTAGGAATACAGAATTGTGCTACGGGATTTCCTCCACCTTTGGAGTAGTCAAAATTAGACTAATATCCTAGGGGTGGGTGGTCTATCCTTTTCTCATTGTATCTCAGAGGCCACTAAAGCAGTTGACACTTGACATCACTTGAAAATGAATTGTATTAACTAAATACCTGGAGACCTTAGCATTGAGAATATACACAGTGTGGCGGTTCATAACTGGCTGCATATTAGAGCTTTTGCAAAACACACCTGGGTTTTACCCCCCAAAATTCTGATTTTAAGTGGATACAGGGTGCTGCTTTTGTGGGCAGGTAACTAACATTGGAAATAATAAGTTCTGCCAATTAATACATCCTTCCTCTTGACGTTAGGCTACAGTAAACTTTGCAAATTCTCAAGTATTTTGGAAATACTGGCCTTTATATTAAGCAGTTTTGCAGGGAAATGTTTTAATTATGTTAACATTTAGGTTATATCTATAGAAATATTTTAAATACAGTCCTTGGTATTTTAATGTGGAGCTATACTAACATGTAGTTTATATATAAATGTTTAATACATTATGTCAACTAGGAGAAAAGCACGTCATGGGGGTAGAGCAAATTTATTTAGGTAAACCCCTATTGGCACAATAATGGATAACATTGTTTAGCTACTAGACTCTGCTTTACTTTTTTATTTTTTTTTTAATTTGTTATTGTTAATCACCGTACATTACATCATTAGTTTTTGATGTAATGTTGCATGATTCATTGTTGGTGTATAACATCCAGTGCTCCATTCAGGACGTGCCCTCTTTAATACCCATCAGCAGGCTAACCCATCCTCCCACCCCCCTTCCCCCCCAGAACCCTCAGTTTGTTTTTCAGAGTCCATCGTCTCTCATTGTTGGTCTCCCCCTCCGATTTCCCCCCCTTCAAGTTTATTTTAGAGAGCAAGAGTGCTTGGGGGCGGGGCAGTGGGAGAATCTCAAGCAGACTCCCCACTGAACATGGAGCTCAACAGGGCTTGATCTCAACCCCAAGATCATTGAGGAAGAGTCAGACGTTCAATCACCTGAGCTACCCAGGCATTCCTCTGTTTATGCTTTATTTTCTTAAATGCTATTTCTGTAGTGCAAATCTGGAAATTGGTGGTAATTGGAGCATTATTAGCATAGATGAGATTTAAATGGGCTCATGGAATGACCATCCTCTTAATGTTCCATTACTGAAATTTTTGCTTTTTAGGATGTATAATCCTCTGGATATCCTAAATAGGTCTAGTTTTCTACTAGAGAAAATTGCCAGAAATATTTAACAAAAACATTTTTGCAAATTACAAAATTCAGAAAAAGTAATTGTGATAGCTTTGTGATGCTTAATAATAGGATTACAGTCATGAAACTCATGCCTTTTTTCTGGGTTTGGGCTTGGACCTTCAATTCTCTGGACTATCTTGTCCACTGTCCTCAGTTACCATGTGTGTTCAAATTGAACTTCAGCTGAGATTGCTCTGTACATCCATTTGTGTACTATACAACCTGCATCTCACATAGCTCAAACTTGTCTACAAGATGAAAATCCTCTTCCCTCCCCAAAACTTGTGTTCTTTCTCAATCCATGGTCCTGTCACACAGCCACATGGGTCACTCAAACATTGAATCCACATCCCCTATCTCTTCCAATACCCAAGTCCTCTTGATTCCACCTTTTTTCCTCTTAGATTTCAAAAAAATAATTCAAACATAGGGATTTGAGTGGAACTGAATCTGGAAAGAACTATGCCAAGTTGAAAAACTCAAAATCCTGGGTATTTTTTTAACTAGTTTGGGAAACTAAAAGGTATCACTGTAACTGTTAAACATTGAGCCATAAGCATAGTATTTGAAGAATTCCACAGTATGAGTCTAGTTAAGGCTCCTGAGTAAGCAGTGATCCATTCTTAGAAGCTTGTGTTCTTGGTTTATAAGTGAAAAAATTGTTCATCAGAAGCCAGGTAGTGAGCTACTAGCCTGTTTTCCAGCCCAATTTTAAGCTTTCTCTACATTGGAGGACTGAAGAGAGCTCTTTAGGTAGCAGTTAAAATCATTTTAAAACTTAAGTAACTGGGGCGCCTGGGCAGCTCAGTTGGTTAAGTGACTGCCTTCGGCTCAGTTCGTGATCCCAGGGTCCTGGAATCGAGCCCCACATAGGGCTCCCTGCTCTCTGCGGGTAGCTTGCTTCTCCCTCTCCCTCTGCCTGCCGCTCCCGCTGCCTGTGTGCGCGCACTCTCTCTTAAATAAATAAAATCTTAAAAAAAAAAAAAAAAAACCAAGTACCTGTTAATGTGTGGCCCCCTTATACCCACATAGAAGTACCTATAAGCTTGTTTTGGTGATCTAAATATACTGTAACACAGAAGTCTTTGGAATACACTCAATAACCAGAGAATTGGTTGAGAAAATACCAGTTCTGTGAAAACATAACCACTTAGGACTAAAGAATAGGGAAAAGGGTGCCTCAGTAAATCAGAAGGTGTTGAAAGAACAGCTTTATGGCCTTATAACAGTTGTGAATTTTAGCTGATCTGTGCCAAAGTAACTAATACATCAGCAATTGTAATTTTTCCCACTCAGATTGTTGGAGTTGTATTTAAACTATAGGTAATATTTAGAGAGCCTGTAATACAGCCAAAACATAGCACTTAAAATTTTGGGTACTGCGGTTGTCCTCAATCCCTCAAACATTTAAAAACTACTTGGAAACAAAACCCCTGCAGGACCTCGGGATATGTAGAAACCAACTAAAAGGTATTTGCACTATAGTGCAAATAGTGTCAATGATTCTGAGAGTTACAGGGACGTGAAGAAATGTTGGAGGTGGGAGGCCTCTCCAGTCCTTACCTCCTTTCCTTTGGGTTCACAGAGTACTGCTGCTGTTAGACAAATGTGAGCCAAACGTAAGGCAACAGAAACCACCATGGCTGTGCATTTGCTGGATCCATTTCCTCACCTGACATCCCTAAGTGCAGTGTGCAAGCTCTGTGGATATAAAGTGAACAGGCAAGAGAAAGAAGTAGAAATGCCTGGCCTGCTGTCAGATCTGCTCGAAACATGGTTATTTGGATATGTGGGCTTGATGAGCTACTTCTTTGGGCCTCAGTTCTCATGTGTAAAATACTTAAGAGTATCTATCTCAAGAGTATATATATGCCTGTTCCTTTATGTCTCTGGGGAACATTTTCCTACCAAACCAAGACTGGCATAGGTTTCTCATACCAGGACCTCGATTCCCACAGGGTAGGGTACACTGCTGGCCAGTGTGTTAGGTCAAATGACATTTGCAGAAGTACGCATGAATCCTCAGGGGCATGACCTTTCTGTGTCCTTCACCCAAAAGTAACCACGTAGATCTAACTATACTGGAGAACCTGGCAAAGCCAAAGTTTTATCTTTGGAAAGTAAGATGAATTCTTTCCTTCATCCTAGGAATAGTATATTTCACTTTTATAGCAAGTTAAGCTTTGAGAGAAGTGAATCCTTCCATACATTTTGTTCTGTAAACTGCTTTTTTTCTTTAC